ACATCATCTTTCTAGAACATCTTCCAATTTCTAACTGATTTGCACATTCTAATTGCAGACTCCCAGGTCTGATGATATGATCCACAGTCCCATTGGTCAGAGGCCTGACCATCTGAGCTAAACTCATTCCTGTCATATTAGTCCCTGGGGGCCTCTGCTGGTCTGAGCACAGCACTACCTGGTCTATAATCCTCATCTTGCTCCTCACAACAACCCTGAGAGGGACTATTGTTTATTTGCTCTGGGTGTTTTCAAAGGATTTTCCAGTAGTCTAGTGGTGCAGGAGGACTCTGGTAACATAAGAACACATAGGATGTTCATCTTACCTCCTTATCGTCTCCATCTGTTACATAACAGGCTCTGTCTACACTGGCCCTGGGCCCCCAGCCGTGAACAGAAACACCTGGTCCACTTGGCGTCCCATCTGTGTCTCTGAGAGGTTGATCCTGATTTGAGTGTTTCTTGGCGTCCACATTCTTCTGCTGTTGCTTGTGTCACTTTTAAGAGCGTACTAAGACATGAAATTATTTTGAATAATTTCTAGGTGTTCCTTGTCCTGTTTTCATGTTGGTGAGCCCTAGGGCTCCTCACACGCCTTATATAGAAATGGATGGTTGAGGAAATGCTGACTGAGGAAAAGTTGAGGTCATCTGCCCAGGGAACGGGACTCCTCGGGTTTGTTTAAATCTCCTGACGGGCTGTGGGGTGCTGTGTGAGGGTAAAGAGAATTCAGTGGGAGGGGGAGTTTGTAACCCGCTGAAGGACAGCAGAAATCACCCCTGAGAAAGACTTCTTCCAATTTCTAGTTGATTTACCCAGGCAAAATCCTGGGTCTGAGGATATGGTGAAAAGTCCCACAAAGAGTTACTTTTTAATTTGCCAAGGACAGCCAAGAGCACAGGTTGGTGCTGGGAGACCAGAGTTCTCACCTGGGGTCTGGAATGAGTGATTTTGTGACTAGAAGCAAAATTTCCGGACCTCTGGTTTGCAGATTTCCTTTCTGTATGAAGGAACAATAATAAGTTCTTCTTAAGGTCCCTTGAAAGTTCTATTTAATAGAACTGGGGGGAGAGGTTGGCATGAGTCAAGGCAGGAAGCAAAAGCAATCGGAAATTGACTTAGCTCTGACTTATGTCCTGTGCCTGGGCGCCAAAGGAACAGCACATTTTTGGCTCTTTTCTGCACCTGTGACAGACATGACTAATCAATACTTCCACACACACACACACACTCACACACACACACACACACACACTCACCTGGCAGCATTCTGAATCCTTCTCAGCACAGCATTTCAGGCAGCCCAACCCATCCACCCCAGAGGGTTTGCAAAATAAGAGTAACACCATTCAGCACTGTGCCAGGAGAGTGAAGCAACTCCAGTAAGAGATGACCCAAACGCCCTTGGGCTGCCATACAGGGAATAAGGGAATCCCAACACACAGTGGGTGCTTTACTTCTGAGGCATTTCAGTGGCGATCAGGAGGCTCCTGAGGTGATTGTCTGAGAGCTTGTCTTCTGCTGGAAGGGGTGGTGACTGAGGACCAGGGCAAGTAGGCTGTGAGGTCAGCAGCACCTGCTCTGTCCAAGGGTTCCAAATGACCGGCCTGTGTGGGGAGACTGTTTCTACACAGCCCTCTTACCGCAGACAGACAGGGACTGTAAAGTGAATCCCGGCTGCCTCCGCCCGGTCTAGGCCCTGGGAGAGATACAGATGCCCTGGAGCTTGGAGCCAGGCAGTAAGCCTGGGCATGTGGAGGAGCCGGCACCACAGGGCCACTCCCTCCTGGACTGAGCCCCAGGCCTCCCAGCTCCAGCCTGCCCTGACAGGCCCTCGTTCCAGCAGCGTGCTCAGCCCAGGGTCTGGCCCTGCAGGGCTACTCACCACTCCTCCTGTAACCCCGTCTGAGCCTGGAGGCTCCATTCCTCACCTGTAAAATGGGGGTGCGGATGTAAGGGTGCTAGCGCCCCACCTCCACTATTGCTCTCAAGAGATTAGGAGAAAACAATACAACAAAAGATGAGATAAATTCTGGAGTTTCTCCACCCTCCTCGTCTGCCAGGGAACGTGTCTGCCAGGGAACGCAGCCTGGTCTCTTATCCCCAGCGGGCCCGGCTGGTCTGTCCTGATGAAGGGAGGCTGGGCTGGGCTGAGAAGCTCGGTCCTGTGCACGTCCCCCAACTGCCTGGGAAAATCCCCTGCACTGAGCCTTCTGGGCTGCTGCCCCACAGGGTTTGGTCTCGAGGGGCTGGCAAGGGGGGTGGTCCTGGTCCTTGTCCTGGGTCCTGGACCTTCACAAAGCACAGCCACCCACCGAGCACCTGCTGCTGGGTCAGCTCCCTCCTGCCTGGTCTGGATGGAAGCTGCAGAGCGCCAGGTGCGAGCAGGCAGGGGACTGTGCTGAAGGGCGTGTCTGCCCGTGACCCTGACTGGTCTCAGCTGCAAAGCCCTCCAGTGGGGCCCTGCAGGTAAAGGGTCCCTGCAGACAAAAAGCCTTGGCTGGCTGTCCCCAGGACTCCAGCTGCAAATCTCGGGGTCCCAGGGTGAGGGAGCAGTGCTGGGCCAGGAGCAGAGGGAGGAGGAGGCAGAGAGGTGAGCGGAGAGAGAGGACCAGGAGAGAAAAAAGGACAGGTTTGCAAGGCCAGCCAGTGGGGGTGAAGGAAACACGGAGGCCGTGCCTGAGGGAGCAGAGGCAGGCTCCGGGCACATGAGGGAGAGCATCGAAGCAGCAGCAGGCCCGAGGGCCCCCCAACTCGGATCCAGCTTCCCTCCCAGACTGGTGTTTCTGTCTTTCTGTCTGAAACCCAGTCATAGTTTAAGAGTGAATTGCACTGTGCAAGAGACCAAAGAGTGTCTTCCCTCTCAGGTGAGGGAGGGCCTCCTCCGTGCTTTTAGCTCTATAAATTAATGATTATTTTCAAGTCTGGAAAGTAGATTCCCGAGGTTGCTGGTGCTTTTCCTTCCTACCCAGGGCGCGGGAATGAGGCCTCCGCCGGGCGTTTGCTGCTCCCTGCTGGCGGCCTCCTGGCTCTGCAGGCCCCCACGGCGGGAACAGGGCTGAAGCTGCCTTTGGGTGATGGCTTAGGCCAAATTATCTCCGCTCCCGCTTCTAAAATCACGGGCTGTTACAGCTGGAAGAGACCCGGGCTTCCAGCCACGACCCCTCCTCTAAGCTGGAGACTTGAATTTCAATCCACCTCCTGGATATTTCCACCTGGATCTCAGACTCCGCTGGTCCACAACATAGCTTCTCTCGGCAGCCCTGCAGCCCCCGCCTGTGCTCCTGATAGCGGTGAGCTGCACATGGTCCACATGTCATCCACTCTGAGACCTCCAGATGCGCCTTTGCTCAGCCTCCACACCCCATCCGCCACTAGCCACTTTGAGAGCCCCAGGAAGAGTCTCTCTTGTGGGACCCTTGCGTCTCTGGCTCATCCTGCATCCTCTCTCATCATGAGAATCTTCCTGACTACTGTCTGTCAGAGGGCTGTCGTGTGTGTGTGTGTGTGTGTGAGAGAGAGAGAGAGAGAGAGAGAGAGAGAGAGAGAGTTGGATATGGATATATGACATATTGATAGCATAGAAACAGGTGTTGGTCTAGACCTGGGCATGTGGTCTAGACCTGGGCATGTGTGTATCAGTGTTATAGACGCAAGCTCTGCATACACACTCAACAGGGATATGTAGTAAGTATGGAGACATACAAGTATGATCCCTTACCCCAAGGATGGGACAGTGTGGGCAGAATCTCAGGGTCCGGAGAAAGCCTCTTGCTTTCACTAAGTTTGTTCAGCTGTGGGCCACTAAGCCATGCCCTCCGGTAGGAAGTTCAATGCCAGCTGAAATCAAAGCCAGTCCACCAGGCTGTGGTGGATGGTTTGTATTGCTATACCGCAAACATGAAATTTGATGCAATTTTGTTCTTGAAAGTCCTTCAACGAGTGGCTAGGCCATAGCTTTCCTCCTTAGTCTTTCCTGGCTCTCAGGGCCAACCCTCATCTCCAATCCCTATTGATTCTTGTTGCTGAGTAGATGAGCAGTCTCGTTCCTTTAGATCTGAAGCTTCCACCTTAACTGGCTCAGTTTAAGGTATTTTATTTTATTTTTTTAAAGATTTCTTTATTTATTTATGCATACAAGAACTGGGGTACAGGCCAGAAGTGTGGGGGGTGAGAGGATTCACCAGACACAGAGTGAGGAACAAAACAGGCAGATCTACTGAAATACACCGCTGTGGGGAGCAGTGGGTGAGACAGGAGAAGTCTGTTGCACCATGTGGGTAACTCCCTGGTCAGGAATTGAACTCCTGCTACAGTGGCTCTGGACAGCTTCATAGGTTGTGTCTTAACCCCTTACACCACCAGGGAGGCCCTCAGTAAGTTATTTTAACAGACAAAGGCAGTTACTGCCCTAAGGAGAATCCTAGCATCAAGTTTTAAGGTAGTAGTTTTATTTGCTATACAATTCACGTAAATGATTACAAAATAATAATGGATTATAGTCAGCACGGAATAGAAATCTTTGAGGGTGCCATGTGATTGCACCTGCAGAACACAGCGACAGAGGTCTTGGCTGAATTTATCTAACTGTGGAATAAATTCATGTTTTCTTGACACTGAGAACATTTTCCTATATGTGAAAGTCATGGTCATGTGTGTGAAGGACACTCACTCACATTCCTGTTGATGGACCAAAGCTAGTGGCAACTTGCGGTTTTTGGGGTGTCCGCAGTCCCCATGGGTTGCAGCCAGATGATCTACTTCAAATCCAACTAGCTGGGAAAGTGAAAGTCTGCACGTGGCTTAACACCTCTCAGCTGTTTTCTTTCCCTGGAATAGTGATCCCCAGCTGGCGGTCGCGAGGTTATGCGGGATAACTTGGAAAGCACATGCCAGTGGCCCGTGGAACTTGTAGCCTTGTCCGAGTTGACACCTTTTCATCCAGACCCAGGCACACTAGGCCTGGATGCTCCCTGAGCCTCCTCTTCCTTTCTCTCCAGGTTCCTCATTGTCCTGGGATGCTTGATCCTGGCTGTCCTGACCACGTTCAAGGAGTACGAGACCGTTTCGGGAGACTGGCTTCTGTTACTGGTGAGACCGCGGCCCCCCTCGGTGCTCTTCTAAGGGAGCCGCCTCTGGCTGGCCCCTCGTGGAGTCCCGCCCAGGTCCAGACACAAGAAAAGCAAGGCCTGGATCCATTGGTGAGGCCTGCAGGGTGGGGAAGGGCATTCCTGGGAAGAACAAGTTGTTCCAGATTAGAAAGGGGCGTGCACATGGTCAGGGCACAGCCGGTTCACATCGTGACTTACACGCACCGTCGCCTGAACCACTGCGAGTGAGCAGTGAGCACAGACGGGCCGTCCACTCTAAACTCTGCCCCCCCGGCCCTCAGAGGCCCGAGGATCTCACACTTGGCCTGGGCCCAGCACAACACCCCATTTCTACATTTAAACTGCAAGTCCTTCTCCCGGGGTGCCGTTCACTATCAGTTCTCCAGCCAGTGGCGTGAGGGTAGCGAGAGTGAGGGGTGGGGGTGGCATTTGGGGGCCCGTTTGGGGCCAATTACCTCATGCCCGTCTCTCAGTTTCCTCCTGTCCCCCCATGTCTATATAACAAGGTGAGGCGAGGAGCAAAGGTGGATGAGCCAGGTGCAGCTCAGCGCCTGGCCCCGCGGCCGCTCCCCGGCAGGGCCGGGTGCTCCTGCAGGACTCCCTGTTGGGTTCCCGGACCTTTAAGGCCCCCACCCTGGTTGGCTTAGGGGTCGGTCAGCCGCCTCACCTGGGCCGAGACCCAGATCCTGTGAAGCTGCCCGGTCCAGGGGGTTGGGGATTGCAGAGGAGCAGCAAGGTGCCCGGGACCATGGCCGGGGAATGGGGGTACAAAGACGCCCCCTGATTAAGCAGGGCGGTGCTGGCGGGAAGGAGTCCACCTGGGGCCGGGTGTCAGCACAGCTGGCTTTTCCTTCCCTGTCACTTCACGCCTGGACAGGCTCCGTTATTGCCTCCTGGCTTTCGTTTCTCAAAACAGCCTTGAGGGAAACGTGATAAAGCACTTGAGGGGGTGCTGGCCCAGGACCCAGCGCACAGTCAGGGCTCCAGGGCCCGGGCCGGGCTGGGGTACATGGTTTCGTCGATACCTCTTTGAACCTAAGTGCACTTCTGAGGAGCTTTTAGTGTATGAAAGGGATTTTTTTTTAAGTGTTCCATTAGAACAAAAACAGGCCACATCAGCATGAGGACTGGGCCCTCCAGAGCTGGCTGCAGGCGCCCGCCGCTACCACCCCCCATCTGACCAGTAGCGGCAGTGGCAGGAATCCCCTGCGCGGGAGCTCCCGAGCAGGAGCTGCTGGTGGCAGGCACTGGGTCGTGGTTCAGCGGGGACTTTCCGTGTGCTCTTCCATGCAGGAGACATTCGCTATTTTCATCTTTGGAGCCGAGTTTGCTCTGAGAATCTGGGCCGCCGGGTGTTGCTGCCGATACAAAGGCTGGCGAGGAAGGCTGAAATTTGCCAGGAAGCCCCTGTGCATGCTGGGTAAGTGCCGGCTGAGGGGGCTCCCTGGTCCCCCTTGCTGGGTGACCAGTGAGGACGGTTGGAGCAGACACTGTTGCGGGATCAGGCGGCCCCGGGGGGTCAGCCCAGCCCTGCCCGATCTCCGTGAGCAAGAGCGAGCGGCTCCCGTCCTCTGGGGGCCAAATTCCTTTTCCGAGCTCATCCTAGCAGAGCCCCACAGGGCAGGGGGCTGGGGGGGCTCATGTAGCACCTGGGCTGTGAAGGGGGCCAGCCCCTGCTGGATGTTGCGTATCCGCACCCCTAGGCCAGTCGCACCGCAGTCACGTGCCAACCACCGCTGCCCGTGCACCTCCAGACCCGCTGCAGTGGACTGGGGAGCAGACCTCCTTGCCGGCTGAGACTCACGTCTATAGGACCACGCTGTGCCCATTCCATTGAGGTGGAAACTGAGACTGACAGAGCTGGGTCATTCCCCAGTCACACACCCAAGCTGCAGTCCCTCCAACACGTGGCAACTGTGCCCTCCTCCACCTGACCAGGTCCCAACCCCAAGATGCTTTGGGGAGGTGTTGCTGAGACTCCCACCGGGCACAGACAGGCTGACAGCAGAGCAGGTGGGAGCTCTTGCCTCCCCCATTGCTGCAGCAAGGCCCCGTGTCCCCGTGTGACGAGGCTCTGAAACCACATAGTGACGGAAATGTCCACTTGCCGGGATGCTTAGAAGACCGGGAGCAGCCGATCTCCAGGGATGGTCACAGGACAGCGACACATGCTGTCAGGGCTGGGGCATCCGGTCCTCAAGCCACCGCCATCTGATGCTGCAGCCTGTGCTGCCTCTCAGGGGTGGCCGGATACTTACATGCCTCTCGTCACAGCACACTCATCACCTGCCTCCGTGTTCATCCACCTGAATGCCTCTGACGCACTTCCAGTATTTGGGCTTGGCCAGCTGGTTCCTCCTCTTCCGTCCACCAGTTCCCTTTCACCAGGAGAGGTGCACGTGGCGGCCTCATAGGGCCCAGTTCCCAGCCCCTCTCCTCCCAGCCTCCTCACTCATCACTTCCCTTTTGAAAAGTGACCCCCAGACTGGAACACAGCCCTTTGGTATGAAGGACTGGACCCCCCTCCACCCTGTGCAGTCTTCTCCATGTGGCCGGGGGGAGGGCCTGCCTTGTTTGCAGTTTCCTTCACCTGTACCCCCTTGCTTCCTACCCCAACCCCTCTTCCTTCTTCCCATCTGCTGGGAGGTTGGGCAGCTGAAGTTGCTAGTTTTTGCTCAGAATTTTGAATGCAAGTAGGGTGTGTGTGCACTAATGCGTGTGTGCAGTTTTGGGGGACTCCTTAGTTACATTTTGTTTTTCAAATCCCCCCCTTCCTTTGCCAGCCCCCTCTCTCTGTTTACCTGGTATTAGCCTGTCCCAGCTGTTCTAACCAAACCCCCCCAAACACAACAGAAATTGACTTCTCAAAGTTCTGGAGGACAGAAGTCCCAGGTCAGGGTGTAAGCACGGTGGGCCCTGGAGAGAACCACTCCTGGGGTGCTGGCTGTGTCCTCACAGGGTAGAAGGGCCGGGAGCTCTCGGGGTGTCCTTTATAAGGGTACTGGTCCCTTTCATGTCCCCCTCAGGGCCTAGTCACTTTCCACAGAACACCCCCCAATACCGCCACCTTGAGGGTGAGAATCTGAACATAGGAAATTTGGGGGGCACAAACCTTCAGACCATGGTGACCCCCAACTTTCTTCTCCTTCGTCATTCTATCTTTGTTTTTCAAGGTTTTTGCTTCCTTCTTGGGCCTGGGTGGGTCCTCTGGGTCTGAAGCACAATCCTCCCCAGCATCAAACACCCGAGTCACTTTGGTTTCCTCAAACACGATACGTGGGTAGCTTTGTGTAGACCTGGAAAGCCTGGTCATGGGTACCCATGGATGTCTGAGCCCCGTCTTCCCCAGCTAGGCGTGTCTGGGGCACTCTGACATGGAGGAGAGCTGTTTGGCAAAGTGCTGAGGTGTGAATTGAGGTACCTGTTCCGGGCTGAGAGGCCGGCACGTACACCCCTGTGCGGCATGAGCACGTGCGCTCAGCAAACACGCACGCTGCAGGAAGGCCCCCTGGGCCAGGGCCAGGGGTTTTCAGAGCTTGGACTTTCCTCAGGGGATGAATCATTCCTCAGGTATATTCCTTGGGGCCCTGAAGCTCTTGCAAAACATGTCTCCAAGATCAATATTGTTTAGGAAAGACCCAGCTGGTGTCATCAGGAAGCGCCTGCATGTCAGGGGCTACAGTAGCAACACCATTTTCATCAATTTTTTCCCAAATTTGTTTGGCCATGGGGTCCTTTTTCCTTGCCCACCCTCTGGAGTAGTGTGGAGAGACCATGGAAGGGGGCGTGGGTGATGGGGGTGCCCCTGCAGGGGATAGGGAGGCCAGCCCACTGCTGTCCATGCCAGGCTGACTCCTGGACCCCACTGGTCCTTTCCGACGTGCCTTGTCCCAGGGCTCGCTCTGCTTCAGTGGGATATTCGACGTCACCTCCAGATACCAGGGTCCCGTTTTCATGGGTGGGCCTCATGCTTTTCCACTCTCTACCCCGGGCCTTCTCGGACGCTAGGACTGATCGCCAGGCAGTGCAGCTCGGAGGCGTGGGGGCACTGACAACCCTCAACCAGCAGGGGGCAGGGGGCTCTAGCAGCAAGCAGGCTTGATCACACACACCCCCTTTTCTCCTCATCTCTCTCCCCACTGGCTTCTGCTTCCTGGGGCCATCTCCCAGTACTTTCCCGCAACCAACTTCCTTTCTCTGGTTCTACTGTTGGGGCAAATGCACATGAAAACAGTGAAGCTGCAGGCTCCTCCTCCACTACCAGGCTACCGGATCCCTTGTGACCTGAGTCACTCTCAAGCACTGCCCGCGAGGGCTTTGGGGAGCATTTCTCTGGGGGAATAGAGCTAGCATTAGCAAAAGAAAAGCCCACATCCAGATCCAGTCCCACGTCTTCTGGCCGTGTGATCTTGGGAAGAGCGTCTGTCTCCAGTTCTCAGGAGACCAGTCCTACATACCACGCGTGGTTGATGTCACGCATTGACACGACAATGCGTAGACGGCTGGCAGGCAGTGCCAGAGATGGCCCTGATGCCGGACCTCTCCCCTCTCCCTGCCACCTCTCTGTCCTCTTTCCCAGACATCTTCGTGCTGATTGCCTCGGTGCCCGTGGTTGCCGTGGGAAACCAGGGCAATGTCTTGGCCACCTCCCTGCGGAGCCTGCGCTTTCTGCAGATCCTGCGCATGCTGCGGATGGACCGGAGGGGCGGCACCTGGAAGCTCCTGGGCTCAGCCATCTGTGCCCACAGCAAAGTAAGTGCCAGGGAGAGGTGCTTCTGCCACCACTGACAGTGATGGTGACGAGGGTCAGGAGGGCAAGGAGGATGAGGGAAATAACAGCATGTTGCAATGAGCAAATCAAGTGGACTTGGCTCTACACCACCACATGCAAACCACTTTGGACAAATCACCTTTCAGTTTCCTCGTTTCTAGAATGAGGAGAATGATGCCCCTGCTTCCAGAATGTTCAGGATGACATGAGCTTGCATGGGATGGGAGGGAAATACGGGGGTCACCAGTCCGAGTTCGAATCTAAGCTCCACTTGTGTGACTTTGGATATTTTCTATGACCTCTCTAGGTCTTGGTTTCTGCATTTGTAAACTGGGAATGACAACTCACTCACCTCACTGGGGGAGGAGGCCTAGAACTCACCAGCTCATGGAAATTGTTCAGTTGCTATTGACATTATGTAGCCAGTAGCATGGTGTCTAGAATGTAGAGTCTGAGCTGCACTAGCTCACCCCAAGCGCTGGGCACTCTTGTTACCCCATCTGGAGCAATTCCAGAAAGGGGGAGCAACCTTCCCAAGGTCATGCTGTAGGACATACCCATGTCAGTGGCTTGAGGCGGGGGGGGGGGGCATGGAGGTGGAGCCTGCCTCTCTTGGGGGGATCAGAGCTGGAATGAGTCCTTGTGGTTGAGCAGGTATGGACACCCAGGCAAGCCAAATCCTGTGTCTGAGGATCCAGGGTGCTGCCGTTTCTGTCCTAGCATTAGAACATTGGCACCACTTTGTTTTGACACCCCTGCTTTAGCTGGACCCCGAAGAAATGCAGGAGAATCTCTGTGGCTCAGCTCATCAGGGAAACCCCCTCCGAAGCCCATCAGGGGAAATCAGAACAGAGGACTCCGGGGTGGGGGCCATCAGGAGGTACAGTCAAGGCTGCCTCCTTCATGTGAGGGCATCTTCTTGCACCAACCTGGGTGAGGGCACAGTGGCTACTGCTGGTGCCCTGCCTAGACTGTCTTTCCTGAAGGATATGCCCATTCCTCAGCTGCTCTGAGGGGTCCACTAGTGCTCCCCACATTTGGACAATTAAAGGACAGTTGCCTTGCCTTGGGGTCACATCAGGGAAGCCCATAGCCAGTGACTAACTGACAAAAGACACCTTTCTTCATATTGGGGAGCTCTGTACTGCTCCCCATGGGGTTGGGCAGAAGGAGGCGCCAGCCCACATCCTTGTTGCACTCCCTCACTCCCTCTCTCCTGAGATACGACACTACCATGTCCCCCCACACACCTTGATAATCCCCTGCACCCAAATCTCTGCTTCCCAGGCTCTGCTCCTGGTGACTGACCTGAGCCTCGAGGCAGGTTGACATGGGGAGACTCAGAATGTCCCTTAGAAGTGTTAACATCACCATGCTACCCCTAAAAGGACAACCCAGAGCACACCCACACAGCTCCTGGGTTCTTCCAGCCCAAGGACACACCCAGATACATTTAGGGCCTCCACGGTTCCTCTGAGATGCTAACTGGGAGTGGAGTGGATAGGAGCCCCCACGTCCACAGAGCTCTGTCCACCATCCCGCTCTGCACTTCCAGCTCCAAGTCTTCAAGAGCGTGGCTCTGTTTTTGAACTTCCTTAGAGGTCAAGACGTGACAAGATCATGAGAAAAGGTACAATCGAGTGCCTGTTGAGCGGTAGGTGCTGATTCATGGCAGTGTTTACTCTTCCAAATAGCCCTCTTCACGAGGAATACTAATAAATGTATGTGTCAATAGCAATATCCATCTTAAACAGCTGGGAGTCTTTCACCTCAGGCTGCGCTTTTTTGTCCTATACATTTTGTTCCCTGCCTGTATCACCTCTGCCACAGTCACGGGAAGGTCAAGCTTGCTCTCTTGAGTTGTTTCCTACACCTGACCTCCAATTTTATCTTTCATCTGAGGGCATGATTCCCGCACCAAACCCTGTTCCATGCCGCTAAGCTGACTGTCCACCCAGGAGGACTTCAGGGCTACAAGGGCCTGCTTTAGGTTTTTGTCTGTGTCCCATCCAGTTGGAATAGGTGACAGTCGGGTGTTTGTGATGGCATTGCTGGGAAGACAGTCCCTGTCAGTGGTAGGAGCCTGAAGCTGCAAGCGGAGCCTGCTGCTCAAGCCGTCTGTCTCTTCCTGCCTCCACGACCACCCCCACGAGGTCTGCTCAGCCCTGCGCTGTTGCTCCTGCGCGAATAGGCACTGGGGTCTACGTGGGCAGCACACAGCACTGTGTCTTCTCACTGATGGCGATGTGGGCTGGGCCCTCTGTCTTGAAAAGGGGCCCTGAGGTACCGAGGAAGAGAAGGGCCCGGAGCTTCCTGAGAGTGGACTTGAGGGACAGACAGGCTGGACCTCAGCCTCTCTTCTCCGCCTGGGTGTGGGCAGGTCCTGGATTTCAGAATAGCCGGAGCTTCTGGTGGAGATTGTGCAGAGTCATTTATTTCCTGGCGTAACCTTTTCAATAACTGCAAAGCATGGGATTGGGACACATTTTCGCTCCTCATCAGCAGCCACTGACCGCCTCTTAGTAACCCCGTGCAGCCAGTTTCCCGTGCACACGCCAACAGGCAGCTGTTTCTCTGGGTAAGCACCAGGCGAAACTTCTGACTTGCATGTGGGGGTATTACATGTGAGGACACTGGGGACACTGAGATGCCCTCCGCCAGGGGAGAGGCTCCGGCCCGCACGGGGAAGAGCTGTCCTGTGTGCCGGGCCCTCTCCAGCCCTGTAGGCCCTCGCCCTCACCCAGGGTTGCTGGTAGTGCCCCTGCCCTCCGGCTCAGCCTCTCTGCTGTGTGTGGACTCACGCAGGTCAGGGTTCGTGATGCCCCAGTAGAGCCAGAGCTGTGAGCGCACAAGCGTGATTCGAGCATCTGTCAGGGAAGCAGCGGGAGCGTGAAGGAGCAGGAGAGGAGCCTGGCTTTGGCCGGAGGAGTGGACATCCAGGGAAGTGCCGTCATGGGATGAGCACAGGGCTCGATGCTCGGGCCAGGCAGCGCAGACCGCGAGGCCAATACAGACCGGGCAGAAGGAGGCAGAGGCCACCCTGCCAGGGCGCCTCTGTGGATGCAGAAGGGCAGCGACTGTCTGAAGAGTCCAGAGCTGAAGTCCAGGGAGAGGAACAGCTTTTTCCTCTGGGACGACATAGCAGGAAGGACGGAGCTGGTCTCTGATCGAGCCGCTAACCCTGACTCTCATCCCAGCCAACTGTGCTAAACTTTGGAAGGTTTCCCTGGTAGGACGGGAGAGTAGGAAGCACCTGCTGGCTGAGACTTCAGTGACTTGAGGGTCTTTGCCTGGTTCGCCCCATCCTTGACTTGTTTCGTTAAATCAACTTCCTCTTGTTTACTTGTTTGTACATCCTACTCTCTCAAATGATAATGGCCATGAAATAATAGATTTTAGGTGTTATTTATGCTCATTTAAATATGATTGAAATCAATATGTGACTATTTAACATAAAATTTGTCTGCATTCCACGGGTGATGCCCATGGCACTTTCTGGAACTCCATGGTCTAGTCTTCTCATTTGAAAAATGGGAAACTGAGGTTGGAAGGAGGGGTCATTTGCGCAGGTCACACAGTGAGTTAGTGGCAGGACTGGGGCCCTATCACGGCCCTGTCTGCTGTGCCCTGAAACTCCCCCAGCCGCATTCCTGGCAGCTGACATGGGCCTCGCCTTTGTCCGGAACTCTTGTCTCAGAGGCAGTGGCCAGTTCCCAGTTGCTCCTGCCGACTCGCCTGAGGGCCCGGTGAACTGTGATACCGAGATCACCCTAAGGTGGAAATCAGCCTGTCTTCCTAGAGCCGTACACTCGGTCTGTTAATGCAGGCAGCGTGGCTGTCCTGCCGGCGCCCTGTCGCAGTGACGAGGGGGAGGCTCAGACAAGGCCGGTGACTTGCCCGCAGTCTCAGAGCTGGTGAACCTGAACTCCAGCTCCCCCGCCCAGTGACCACTTCCCCGTCCTCTGCTTCCTCTCCCAGGAGCTGATCACTGCCTGGTACATCGGGTTCCTGACGCTCATCCTTTCTTCGTTTCTTGTCTACCTGGTGGAGAAAGATGTGCCAGAGGTGGATGCACAGGGAGAGGAGATGAAGGAGGAGTTTGAGACCTATGCAGACGCCCTTTGGTGGGGCCTGGTGAGTTTTGCACTGTGAAGGCCACCCCAGGAGGGTCGCATGTTAGAGACACAGGGGTGTGGAGGACATGGCATCGGCCTGCTGCATTCTGCAGCCACAGGTGAGAGCCTGGTCTCCTCCATGTCTGCCCCTGGGATACCCCACCCCTGCAGGGTGTGCCCTTGGAACAGGATTTCTAGACTTCTTTCTAGGAAGTCAAGACACAGGGCAGTCAGGTCCCATGGTCACTCAGAGGCCTTACCTCAGTAACTGTAGGCTGCTGTCAGCCAAGTCGTACTTGTGCAGACAGATGCAGTGACAGGGACGTGTGTGCACACAGACCTGCAGACACCCCTAGAGATGCACAGCCTCGTCCCCACAGGGACAGCTGGCGCTGAGCTAGCATTTACTGAAGGCTCCTTTGCTCTAGAACATTGCTCTAAGCCCTTTACATTTACATTTCACACTTGAGCAACTCCTATTATCGTCCCCTCCCTAAAAACTGAGGGGAAACTGAGGCTTGAAAAGGTTTAATAACTAATTCAAGGAAGGTCTCTGAGTCAGTCAGTGGTAGACCTGGGATTTGGTCAGTGAGACCACACTCGACAGCTCTGACGTCTGCCTTCTGCGTCCACATGCACATGTAACTGCTAACCTACCCGTGCAGACACACGCAGAGCAGGCTACAGAACACACAGCAGAGCACCGGCGTGCATGCATGTGCACGGACACACGGAAGTCCGCTCACAAGCCACATACATTCAGAAACGTGTTACCATCGGAAATCACACACACAAATACACACGAGCGTGTACGCACATACACGTGTTTCAATGATCCAATCATTTGTTGGCTGACTGACGACAGGTAGGGAATCCTTAACTCAGACGCAGGCACGCTCTCAGGCTCCCGCGTGAGGCCCCTGGTACCTTTTCTCCCATAGGAGTCTGTTCTAAATGGGAGCAGCACCCAGGGGCAGTGCCAATACAGGTGGAGCTCAGGGCCACGCCCCGACGTCCCTCTCCCCGGGGGAGCCCATGCCTGTGCTCTTCTCCCCTAGATCACGCTGGCCACCATTGGCTACGGCGACAAGACGCCCAAGACCTGGGAAGGCCGTCTGATCGCAGCCACCTTTTCCTTAATCGGCGTCTCCTTTTTCGCCCTCCCAGCGGTGAGTACCGTCCACCTTCTCCCTCGTGTGACGTGCAGGACCCTCGCTGCCTGCATTCCAGCCCTGTCAGCTCCACGGCCATCCCGTCCTGCAGGGATTTCTGCTCCTCTCCCGTTAGCTGTGCGGCGCCTTTCGTCAGCGGCCTTCCCTCCAGTGTCTGCTCCTCCTGGCTGTGGTTCCAAAGCGGCCTTCTTTGGCTGAGTTAGTCACACCCTCCTCAGAGGCAGAGCAAAGGCCTTTCTGAGCCTCTGTGTTTGGGCTGCCCCTTGACGTATCCACCCTGGGACGTCTGACCTGGAATAAGACAGATCACAATTCTGGGAAGTTCTAGTCGTAATAAAAGTCTCAAATGACATTTAAGGCAGCTACTATATTTTAAAAATTCCATTAACATTTACTGTCACATCCCTTATTAGGCACTTCCTATACATTATTTTACTCAACACCATGTGAGGTGGTGCTGTTACCCCACTTCCTGGTGGGAGAAGCTGCAGCACAGATAAGAGGCCCTCCCGGGCTCTGACCGCAGAAAAGGGACAGAGGCAGCCTTTCTGGCTTCAAGGCTCCACTTGACCCTGCTTCCTGGGAGCAAAGGGGGCGTCTCTCCCTTTTCTCCTTGCTCAGTGGAGAATCTGGTATAAATCCAGGTCCATACCGGCTTCTACTTCCCACTCCTGTGGGCCCCTGGAGAGGGGTTGGGGTGCTGGGGGAGTCAGGGTGGGCTGACTTCTACCACTTTCTACCTGCAGGGCATCCTGGGGTCCGGGCTGGCACTCAAGGTGCAGGAGCAGCACCGTCAGAAGCACTTTGAGAAAAGGAGAAAGCCAGCTGCTGAGCTTATTCAGGTGAGGTGTCCAGAGATGAGGTAGAAGGGGGCTAAGGTCCTGTGTGCATGTGTGTACACACATGTACCTGTCTGCTTGCATGGGAAGGCCATTCCCTGGAACTGAGGTGGGATCCAGGGCCAGCATGTCTGTGGTAGCTCTGTGTCTCTTTGGTTATCATGTACCTCTCTCTGTGTCTGCTGAGACTGGCAACCGTATCCCTCTCCCAACCAGGTTCTAAGGCAAGCAAGAAAGAGAACAGATGGGCATCAGCCCAGCCCTATGCTAATAATGTTGCACTGGAGTATTTGGCTTGGACCTGAGTCCATACCAGGGTTCTTCTACTTCCCACTCCAGAGTTGGCCTGGGAACCACAGGGAGAGTCAGCCTGAAGTCCAGAGGTTTAGCCAATCAGCTGCAAAGAGGTGTGTCCCCCTCACAGATGCCACAGCGAGAGAACCATAAACCAGGAGAGGCAGTGATGCCCATGTGGGCAAAACAATGAATGGTTCACCCACTGTCCTGCCCAGTAGACAATCATGCACCCGTGGGTGCTGACATCTGCTGGCTCTCCCTCCCTGTCCTCACCCAGGGCTGGGGATTGGACAGCAGTGAGAGGTGAGGAAAGCGGAAGCATCACCGCTATACTCCAAGGGGACTTTCTGCTTCATGGTTTTCTGGGCTGTTGAGAAAAAAAGAATAGGAAAGTGGAGTGAACCAGCTACAGCTACGTGGACTGACTGCCTGCATGACCACCCACTCTCGAACTTGTGTCCCATTATAGCCAGTGTGTCTGTGGGTCTGTGTGTCTAACACAGGATGGCACATGATGTTATCTTATATATTAAAGTTTTTAGACCAGCTCCAAACTCTAGGAATCTTCCCCATGAGCCCCCCAACCCCAAGTATCTCACAAGCCCTAGTATAGTCTCATCAATACCTCATCTCTCGGGCTGCGTCTTGCCTCAACCATAGGTGGCACACAAGGCTGTGCTTGTCTTGCTACCTATTTGAGACATCTTGTGGAACCCTGCTCATTTCTGGGCTTTTATACCCAGCACTGCTTTCTCTGCTGCTGCACCTCACCTCTCCACATCTCCACTCCACACCGATTAGAGCTCTGAGAAGATGGGGTCATGGAAGTTTTTCTTCCCAAAGGTCCTGCAAAAAGCCAAGAATCTTAACTTCCTGGATGTTGCCTCAATGCTCATTTAAACCCCAGGGAGTCAGGAGCTTAATGAATGTTCATATGTTGTAAGAGTCAGGGTGAATGTTGTGGGTGCCACCTGGTCATTCCTGCCCGCCTTCCCTCCTCCCCAGGCTGCCTGGAGGTACTATGCTACCAACCCCAACAGGCTGGACCTCGTGGCGACGTGGAGGTTCTATGAATCAATCGTCTCCTTTCCATTCTTCAGGCAAGTGTGAACCAACTGTGGCCCCAGAGCATGGCGGCTCGTCTCCCTAGGCCTAGTGTGCCTGTGACCTTCACAGCTCCTTAGAGGACATCCTTCAGGCCACTGGCTCTCAGGCGGGGCTGCACATCACAATCATCTGAGTGGTTAAAAAAAAATCCAAATGCCCAGGCCATACCTTGGGTTAATTAAACCAGAATCCATTTTCAAGGTGAAGATGTGTGGGCACAGGTTATGGCTGATTGAAAACCATCTCACTTTAAAAAAAATACCCTGACAGGATCCCCAAAATTGGGGTCCACATGTCAGCATTTTTTGAAGCTCCCTAGGTGACCCAAGGGTGCTCCCAGGAGTTTTCAGGTGGACTATAGAGGGCTGATGAGGAAAGATCCCAAAAGTGTTGGAGCAGGGGCCGTATGTGAGGAGGTAGGGAGCCAGCATACCAGATCACCCCTGGAGTCCCATTGCTCCCACCTCCTGGCCATGACCAGCACCCACAGGATGGTGGGGACAGGCAGGTGGAAGAGGCAGCAGGAGGAGTTCTCCAGTGACCATGGGGTGTTTTTTTTCCCAGTAGGAGATATGAAAGTTCTCAGGAAAAGATAAAATCCTCTCTCCATGGCCAACATCTATGAAAGGGGGGGGGTTGATACTCATTGATTGTCTCGTACAGTTGAGGGATCCCAGTGTTCATGGCACCCTGTGAACTAAGCCAGAGAATCTCAAGTGTTGAGATTAGTGGGGAGGATGAAGATGGGTCCTGCACTATCCTTCAGTGACCTTTTGTGTCAGTGGTAAGAGTGTGGAGAACAGGCATCCCCAGAGATTTGACATGAGGGGCCTCAGACCACACTGGGAGGTGGGTTGGATGGCAGAGTCACCAGCTCACTTCGGCGGGGTGAGAGGTGTGAGAAGGCAGAGTGGAGGGAGGACCTGAAAGGGAATAAGAAAAAGGAGCTCAGAGGAGCGGTGCCCTGTGGAAGAGTTGAGGGGATCAGTAGAAAGAAGACTTCGATAAATGAACAATAGCTTGGGTTTTCTAATGGTCTTCTTACTCATAAATAGAGTTACTTGTTCCAAAGATGATTTTTCTGGTTCCTTTTGATTCCAAAATTCTATTATTGTTGTCATCATCTCAGGTAGAATCAGTCTTCTTCGGGATAGTGAGTCTTAGAATGGGCAGGCGGCTTCCTCCTAAGAGGACAGAGTGACCTCAAACTCAAAAGCCAGAGCATGCACATTGAATGCAGAACCAAGACTTCCATTTGTCGTGAACCCCAAGGTCTTGGCAATAGGCCCATTCCTTTGGGTTGATTTATTATAAATAGGGCATTGTCCCGGCTGTCAGAGGCTTGGAGGAGTGCATTGTGCTGTGCATACAGCTCTGTGATATGGGAATGGCTTTTAAACTAGGAGAGAACATTTCTTTCTTTCAAGGACAAAAGTATGGAGTCACTAGAGGAATCCACTTAGCAACCATTCGGAAGCAAGACAGTCCCTTGGGAAAAGAATGTCCCTGAATCCATCCTACTCCATCTGTTAATAGTAAAGAAGTAGCTGATCATACCCCTGTGTTATCACCTGCCTCCTGAAGGGATTTTGTCTTTTGTTTATGCTTTAAACAAAAAACAACTTTATGGAGAAATGCAGTAGACCCTTCAACAGTGCTGGAGTTAGAGTGCTGACTCCTCCCACACAGCTGGAAATCTATACCATGACTTGCCTTCCTCAAAACTTGACTCCTAAAAGCTGCTCTAGGAGCCTTACTAGCAATCGACTTAATATAAAGTGAGTTAAAAGATCTTATGTATGTATTATTACTGTATTCTCACAATAACGCCATCTAGAGAATGGAAGTGAATTAGGAAAGTTATAAGGAAAAGAAAATGCATTTACGGCACCATGATGTATTCTGATAGTGTAAGTTCACATCTTGTATCTGCAAGAAAATCCCCACTTCAGTGGATCAGAGCAGTTCAAACCCATGCTGCTCCAGGGGGAACTGATTTCCATACCCTAAGAGTGTTTCGCATACTACAATGGTGTCCTTGTCAAAACACGGTTGGGTGACTTTTGGTAGATACACAAAGTTGGACATCAATCACCACAATCTAATCCAGAACATTTTTATTACCCCCAAAAGAATCTCTGTTCCCACTAGTGAATACTCCTGGCTCCTCCTTCACCCCAGTCTCTGCAACAAGATCTGTATCTCGTCTGTTCTGCCAATTCTGGACATTTCACATAAAAAATCAAATCTTATAATATGTGGAATTTTATGCATGATTTGTTTTACTTAGCACAATGTTTTCAAGAACCATTCCTTCTGATACACATGACACCCTGGAGGTGATAGTGATACCTACCTCGTAAGGTTAAATAAATTAACCCATAAAAAGCACCTAAAAATGCTTCATCTTCATCAAAGAGAAGTGTTGGGGCAAATCTGGGGAGCAGGAAGACTGCACTGTGTGACTTATGCTTTATTTTCTTCTCCTTCACTCTTTATAGGAAAGAACAACTGGAAACAGCCACCAGGTATGTATCTAGTGGTGAATCCCCTCCCCACACGGGGTGGGGACCGAGGGTGCAGTTCTGCCTGCCATGTTGGGCATGAGATGGAGTTTAGGGGTTCATCTTAGTGGCTACCCACCATATTCCTCTGCCATTTTCATGTGGATCTACTCAAGGGAGCCTTCACAGGGGACACGGCAGCATCCACTTACTGAGTGACCCCCTGGGCAGGACTCCAGGCAGGTGAGCCACCTGTGCCCTCTCCCAACCACAGTGTAGGATGGGCACTCATCTCTCATTTGGGGCTCAGAGAGGTCCATATCCTCTGGGGTCACACAACCATTCAAGAAATCCCGGGGAAGCTCTTGGATTGGCCCAGTTTGGGTCACATACTTCCCATTAGAGAGTAAGAGGCTACTTATACTGGCCACACTCTGGATCTTGTTCCCACCTTTGGGGGGTGAAGGGATGCATTCATGGTGCTGGGATTGGCAACCCCCATTAGCAACATTTGTTTGAAGTTAGGGGAATCAGTTCTCCAGTAGAACAGGCTCCGTTTCCCAAAGAATAGGGAGTGAAACAGAAAGCAGACAACAATGGCAGGCATAGAATCTACCCATCAGTTTTCAACTTCTTAAACATAATATCACATTAAAGACCATCAACTATAAACTACAGTCAGCCTCACTCGCTCTATAGGCCATGCCAGAGGAGAGTGATGTTATGTTAGGGACATCGTTTTGAACATCAGTTCTAGCTATCTAGTGGGTGTGCAATGCTACTGATAAGGAGGGATGTTTGTTTGATAGAAATGAGTATATTTTGAATCTTCAAAACATGTAACTGTTGACTGAGTCCAATTGTTCGCCTTGTATTTTCAAACAATTCAATCTGGGGAGCAGCCTTTGCGAATGTTCTCTTCTGTATTGTCTCTGAAGAAGGAAGAAATTTGTCCCAGGCTTCTCTTTATCTCTGATCTCATTATTAATCCTTCCTGTTGCAAAGTTGTCTGATTGAGCAGACCAAAGAATGCAGGCACAATAACAATAATTTGTAAAGAACGCTTCCTGTTTGTGAGGTGTAGCTCTGTGCCCATGTAGCCTCAGAAGCACCATGGGGTAGATGCTATTTTTAATCCTCATTTTATAGATGAGAACATGGAGGTTGTAGGAGGTCTGTGACGTGCACAAGGCCACGTAGCTGAGAAAGTAGCAGAACAGGACTTGGATCCAGTTGGGCTGGCTCCACGGGCTCCATCCCCGCCGCTGCCCTGTCCTCCCAGTTCCTGGGGGCAGTTCCCTCATCAGCCATTGCAGGTCCTTTTCCTTGTTTGCTTTCTCTACCCTTTTCCTGGCTCCCTCGCTGGAATCCCTGCCACGCGAGGAGGCGGTGGAGGCAGCGGAAGGCACGGAGCCAGGATGCTCCATGGAGGGAAGGAGCATTTGGCCAGGCGCTGTAATTCACACTTCGCCTTCTCCTGTGACATCAGCCACGTGAAATGTATCTCACAGAGTGGTGGGGAATGAAAGGAAAATAAATCTTCCGTGTCCTAGAATCAATGGCTTTCAGAGGTGTGCGGGCATTTAAAGACCAATTAATCCAGTCCCCCAATTTCACTGATGAGAAAATTGTTACCCAGAGCAAAATGAGCACCTTGGGCACGGTACCACGGCTATTAGCCTCCCGCCAGCCAGCCCCTGCGTCAGCAGCCCTGGCCGCAGTCACTGGGATCTGGACTCACTCCGTTTAACCCCAGCGTGATCGCCAATATGTCGGGAGGGCTTAGCCTCACTTTTCTTTTTGGGATGCAGAAGAGGGCCTGTGTCTAGCAGCCTTCCCCTCTGAATTAAGAGCAATTGAGAAACAACACAGGAGACGGGGGGCAGGGGGAGGTGGGTGTGGCCCCGAGGGCAGCAGTGAGATCCCTGACCCTTTCTGCACGTGGACAGCACGGGCCGGCCACGTAGGGCCATGTCTTGTCTCACCCCAAGGGGAATGGGAGCCAGAGAGGGACACTATATGTGACCTTCAATACGGAACTGACCTTGAGGATGGAGCCCACCCAATCAAGAGCAGGGCCCACCGGCTGTCGGCACTGACTCTGACCCAACAGAGGACCCCTCTGATGGGGAGGCCCAGAGAGGCCTAGAAGTTCTCCTCAGTTCTTCTAAGAATGTGGACATCCCATTTTTATGACAAAAATAGGAGAAAGGAAGAGTCTCTCCACCCTTTGTGAAGCCTCCTCTACTTGTCAGTGCATCATCCCTCGGCACACAGGAGTGTGTCCAATCTGGGAGGCTTCCATCATCTGAAAATACATGCTGCGCCCACGCAACCCTCACTGCTGTGGGGGCGTCCTAGAGCCACAGTGCAGGTGACCACACACGGGGCAAGGCAGGACCACACACGGTGTTCCGTGCTCCTGGACACAGGTGTCCACCCGCAGGTGTCACCAGGGCCGTCCCTCTTGTAAGCCTCTGGGGAGGATCCTTCCTTGGCTCCTCCCCTGCCTCTTCCTGGCTCTGTGGTGGGACCCTGGACACTCCGCGGGCTGGTGCAGCCATCACTCTGTCTCTGCCTCCATTGTCCTGCAGCCTCTACCTCGGCGCGTCTGTGTCTGTGTCTCCAAATCTCCCGCTCTTTGCTAACATCGTTCATCATCAGATGAAGGGGCCATCTGACTCCAGGAGCCCATCTTAACTCCATGAATGTACAAAAACTCAAATAAGGTCACATTCTCTGGCATTAAGTTAGAGTTGGATGTGTCTCCCTGGGGGACATAGTGAACCCTCACATTTGACGAAGACGAGGATGATATAGGTTTGTATGCAGTGGGAACTGTCTGAGAAGATCCAGGATGTGTGATTTTGAGAAAGACCTTTCTGAGAATTCAATTCCTTTACTTCCCGACACAGATGAGGACGCTGGGCTCGGCAAGGTGAAGCAGTTAGCAAAGGGATTTGAACCTGTGTTTACCAGACTCCTTCCAGATCTGTGGTCTTCTCACGTCTTTAACCAGGGGCAAAAAATTACCAGGTAGTGGCATTAAGAGGTCATCAGTGCAATAGGGGCTTAGCTCAAACTCCAGAGTTAAAAGTGTCAGACAGCGAAGCCTGGCTGCCTTACATAATCACTGTGTGATCTTGGGCAACTCACGCACCCTCTCTGTGCATATTCTTATCTGAGATGTGGGGATGGTAACAGTATCTGTCTTGTGGGCTGCTTGGTATGATAACTCTGGTCAAGTCCGTCACATACTCACTAGGAATTAGTGCCGGTCAATCGGCGTATTATCCATACACGAGTAAGTCTTTTAGGAAACGAATGGAGAAAAAAATGAGTGCTCCTCACTTTTCACATCAGTGTGTGTCTGTGTGTCCTTGGAGCACCAGCTGCAAATGTCTTGGAATCGTGCTCAGAGAGAGCTCTAGATTTGCTGGATCAGAGAAACTGAATAGGACGTTGACTCAGCTAACTTTGCAAGCCCCTGCAAATGAGAGAACCAGATGTATCCATCAAGGTTGTTTCAAAGTTGTGAGGTTGTTCCTTCCAACCCGGCACTCAGTCGGGTCACATCCCACCCCGTGTCCCTGCTCCGCCACCCTATTCCTTCCCAATCTGGCCAGGCCCTCCCTTTCCCTCCCCCGTTCCTGCCTTCCATCCTTGGCTAAAGTTAAACACAAGGCATATCGGATGTTGGAAACCATTTGATATTGGAAACCCAGCCTTGTGTCCACCCCTAGAGAGTCCCAGTAGTTGACCTCAGTCTCATGGGGGAGGCACGCACAGCTTGATGGAGGGGGTGGAGGTGTCAGCCAGCAGAGAACAATGTGGTTTGGAGGATGCTGGTGGGGGGGATACTGCAGAGGTAGGGAGAACAAAACAAAGGAAAGGAATTCTAAGTTCTACCCAGAATAAGAGGTCAAGAGATGGCCACTGAAGAGCTTTCCTTTGGACTGACCTTCAAGGACTGAGAAGCTTTTCACCGAGCAAAGGGAGGATTAAAGCACTGATTTTGTTTCTTTCCTCTTTCAAGCTTCAAACTGACAGTGTTGAAATCTTAGTCTCGAGGCCTTCCCAGAGGCCAGCAATTTCTACATGAGGAATCCCTCCATCATTAGGTCAATAAAGAAGCATGGCGTGCAGATGTCCCAAGGAAGTTTACAAAATGCCAAACAAACGAGTCTTTTTTTCTCTAATAGGGGAATTTATTTTGTAGCTAGAAACAAAATACATGAGTTAACTGGTTCTCCAGCTCTTCTGCAACCATTGTGAGAGTTTAAAGACATCAACATTGTCGTCTTTGATATTGGCACCACTTCTGGAAGGACATTTATTCTTCCCAATGAGCATTTCCCATTTTATTAGAAAGCAACAAAGGCAAAATAGCAGCTTTCATTCATAGTCTTTTCTCAGAGAGAAAATAGAACACCAGAACCTGGAAGGTTTGGCATGTGGGTAGCAACAGGTAGTTATTATTTCTCTGCTTTTCTCTGTCTTTCTCAGATTGACAGTGTTGCTAGTGTAACATTGTACTTTCCATGTGGAAAGATGGAAGGATGAAAGAATGACGGAGAGAAGGGACAAAGTTAGAGCTTTAACTCCTGTCGGTGGGATTGGTCCATCTGTGTTGGCTATTTAACCCATGCTCATAAGTTCTCACAAGTAGCAGAAGACAAATTGGCTACTTGTTCAAAAGACTCTTCTGTTGGCTATAATCTGTGCATCCATCCACACTCCCACACATCTTCTATCTTCTATTCTCTATTATCCATCATCCAGTTTGCAGCATCCATCCACCCATTCATCATCTGTCCATCCATCCATCCATATGTCCATCCATCCATCCGTCCACCCACCCATCCATCCATCCATCCATCCTTTCATCTGTCTGTATGTCCATCCATCCATCTACCCATCCATCCATCCACCCATCCATCCATCCATCCATCCATCCATCCATCCTCTTATTTAATAAATATTTATTAAGACCCTCTTTTGTACCAGAAACCATTTTAGGGGCTATAGCTATGAATAAGAAATTCAAGGTCCCCAAAACTGTTTACAGAATGCCCCTCAGTTTTCCTAAAGGTGACATGTCCCAAAACTCAACTTTTACTATTTTAAATTTCAGTTTTATTAGCTTATCCAGCACACACATGCCCAACAAAGGTGGCATGAAAACGTTAAAGAATATAGTCAAGTTGGTCCCAAGAAAATACTGTTAAAAACTAGCGGACATTACGAAATGAGATAAGGCTTCTGAGGTGAAGGGGGAGCAGGAGAAAGGGTCAAAGAGTATGAGGGATGCTGGTGGAAAATATAAAAGAAAATTAGAAACTGTCACTAATCCCAGACAGCACTGACCCCGTTCTATTGAAATCATGTTGGGGTCTGCTTTTCCCATCTGACCATTTGCTTGAGGAGTTGGTGAATTCTGAGTCTTCCGATCCAGTACAATCCACAGCAAGGCAGCTTGGTAATGGCCTGACAATCCACAAGTCTGGGCAGAAGGTCGCTGCTGTGGGTCGGGGAGGGTAGCACTCACAGCCCCACAGAACTCCCTAACCCTTCATGCCAAAGCAGGTCACAGCAAGAAGACAGTGGCTAAAAACCATCAATATCGTTCTTTTTTTTTTTTCTTGTTATTTATCATCTTTCAAGTTTTCTTCTTTTTTTTTTTTTCAAGATTTATGTATTTATTTATACAAGCACTGGGTACAGTCAGAAGCGCGGGAGGGTGAGAGGATTCACCAGAGCCAGAGCGGGGAGCAGAACAGGCAGAAGGACCAAAGGACACTGCTGAGGGGAGCAGCGGGCGGCAGGAGAGGTCTGCGCGCCATGTGGGATCCTCCTCCGGTGGCCGGGGAGCAACCTAGGATCGAACCGGCGCCGCAGAGGCTGCGGGCAGCTTCACAACCCTGCGCTCAACCGCTGCGCCACTGGGGAGGCCCAAAACCATCAATATCTTTCAAGGTCATTTTCCAATATCAGATTTTACATGGGTTGATACTTTAACATTTAAAAAAAAAAAAAAATCATCCTTGGTTGAGAATTACTGCAGTGAGAAAGCCCCTGGGAGAATTCTGGGGACACAGGGCACAGAACAAATTGGACCAACGTGGAAGGGAACTTTGGGGCTGATGCTGGGACCAAGTTTTAGACAAAAGCCAGTGTCATTTCGGTGAAGGGGGAGGAAGCTTTCCCAGGCGCCGCTCATGGCTGAGAACAGTCTGCTAAGTGCGACAGCAGGGAGTGGTGTGGAGTTTAACGTGGCCGCAGCTCCCTGCTCCTGAGACCTGGTTTCACTTTTCCATCCCCAGTTCATCTCTGCAGCTTTGCCCTTCGCGTTTGGACAATGTTTGCGCTTAATTCAGGAATCTTACCTTCTCGCCTCCATAGTACACTGGTTTTCATGTTTCCCTAACAATTCAGGGACCTCATTTTTCCAAGAAAATCTGCTGTCAGCTCCAAGGAAGGCTTTTTTTTTAAATTTTTTTATTTTTTTTGCCCAATTCTGACTGCCCTCCATGCAGGGCCTGAATGATACACTTAGAAATCCAGAAAGAGAAGGCAGCGATGAGTTTTGCGTTTCAGGGATGAATTTTGCTTGCATTTGATTTTCCTTTGGGATCTCGGATTTCAGGCAACACAATTAAGAAGTGAGCTGATCCCCCACTTTGCTATAGGGAGAATTCTATAAGCTGCTTAGGGGCGGTGGCTGTGAGTAATCAGAGCTGAGGACTGTGACTCGAACCGCCTCATCTGGATGCTTCACGCTGTCGGAGCCCATCTCTTACAGACCGTCCTCTGTGACCAATGGGTATTAAGTGAACAGAGCCAGAGCAGCTCAGACCATTAAAGGTTGCAATGAAGCATTGAACTGCCGAACAAGCAAATGCTGAGCCCCAGCGAGGGAGTACGCTCATGTCTGCTAGTCAGCAGTTACGCTGAGCTTTTAAGTGGGGACAAAGTGGCTGCCATTAGTTTTGCCTTCCTTAGATTATCTGGAATTAAGCTCTGCCAGGACTTATCTCCTGTGAGGTCAAGTTCAATGACAATGGTGAGTGTTTGGGACTAACTTTAAGTTCCATAAAATAATGTGTAAATCCCAGGAACTCATCTTAGATCATTAACAAAAAAAAAAAAAAAAAAGCACTTTGTTCGTAACCCAGAAATTGCATCCACCCATGTCACACATTCCATTAGCCTTCTACTGCTTCTGCGGGGAGAGGACTGTTTGCAGTGATCAGGCTAACAGCCGGCATTTGGTGAAGGGCTCTTGCACCGCATCCCAGGCTGTGGGCTCAGTGTTTCACATGATTTGCCTCTTTTAACCCTTAAACCACCCTGCGTAGTGAGGGCTATTGTCCTCGTATATGTGGGAAGCTGGGGCCAGCCGGTTTGTCCCCAAGCCCGTGATTTTTGCTGCCGCTCTGAACATTGGGATGTGTTGAGCAGGGTGGTGTGTTCACAAATAACCAGGCAGGGTCCTTGCTTTGCCAGGTGTGCACAGGTGAGGAAGGCAGCAGGTGTGGGGTTGACAGTTTCCATACAGTGTGGTGAACACCTTGACAGAAAAAAACAGAGCGTGGCTCTGGAGCAGATGGGGAGGCTGAAATTTCATGAGCGGATGCTCTGGCAGTTTTAAGGGACAGGATGGAATGAGGTAGGTGAAGAAGACAAGAAAGGGCATTGCAAGCCTGAGGGGCACCAAGGCGTGCGGCAAAGAGTTTGGCGTGGCAGGAGTCTTGGCACAGGGGGTCATGGATCTGTTTGACGGTACAGTACAGCAGGACACCCAGGACCCGAGAAGTGACTGTCCTACATCCCTCTGTTGTTCAGCTGATGGGTGGGGAAGCCTCTGTGTGTGTTCAGTTGACAACTGCCTTCCCTTGCACTTTCAGCCCACGAAAGCCAATCGGTTGTCTGTCCTACTAGTTGTTCTAGAAAACCACTCTGAAAAATTTGACTTCACACAGGGCAGATGGTGCCATCTGAGTACCGGAGTTTCTCCACAATGAGCCGGGCAGGTTCTGAGTGCCTCCGGGCTGGGTGAGAGGGAACAGACCCCAGGGGAGTCGGGAGTAATGATTCTCATCCACTGCCAGTCAGGCATGTCTTAGTGCCTTCTCTGCGCCAGGCTGAAGGCAAGGGGCCTTGCAGATATCCCCCAAATCTCTGCAAAGCAGGTATTGTTGGGATTCCTTAACCTGAGGCCTTGGGTTTGGGGTTTTCAGAGAGCATGGGGCACCTGCTCCAACCTCATCCGCGGCCCTGGCACCCACACCTCACGGCACCAAGCTGCAAGGACAGCAGCAGTTTCTGCAGAGAAGTAGGAGCTTTTCGTAACTAGACCTGCTCTTTAGAATCTGAAATTATCTTGGGTTGATACAGAGCTGATTTGACAATAATCAGTGGCTTGCTCTCTTATTGCACAAGCACGTGAGGGGTGAAGGAGGGGGAGCCACTGAGTTGAGTGTGTCGGTTTGTGAACCCACACCTTGGCTCTTGCTGGCACGGCCAGCCCACAAGGACTTGGCTCCTCATGCCCACCAGGGTGAGGGTGGAGGCCGAGAAACTGAGGCATGAAATAAATATTTATAGAGCACCTACTCTGTGCCAGTGTGTCTGTGCCAAATCCTTAACAAAAGTCATTTCATGGCAAACAGAAGAGGCAGGGAGTGTCTACCCCTTGTTATAAAGATGAGGTGATCAGGCTCTGGGTGGTCATGGATTTGCCCAGCGCCACCAAGATGTAAGTGGCAGAGCTGGACTTGAAATCATGGGGCAGCTGGTATTTTTAACTTGAAGTTGGACTTGTTGGTCCTATTTGTGTGCAGAACACTTTGGCAGGATGCTGAAGTCCAGGGATCCTTTCTCAGAATAACACTTTCAAATGGATGTAAAATGCCCATAGTTAAAGTAAAACAGATTGTATTAAAACATCATCAAAATTTGGGACCTCCCTGGTGGCGCAGAGGGTTGAGCACAGCCCTGGGAAGCTGCCTCTGCAGCGCTGATTCGATCCTGGCCGACCAGGGAGATGCCCACATGGTGCGGCAGACCTCTCCTGTCCTGCCCGCTGCTCCCCTCAGCAGTGTATTTCAGTCGATCTGCCTGTTCTGTTTCCTGTTCTGTCTCTGGTGAATCCTCTCACCCTCCCATGCCTCTGGCCTGTACCCCAGCTCTTGTATAAATAAATTTAAAAAGTCTTTTAAAAAAATCATCAAAATTTGTAAACATCTAAGATGCATCCCATGTGCATTTTATGAGGTGAAATGAATCTAATGACAAGACCTAGTGGTGAGCTGAACATGACCAAGACTTTGAAGGGTGAAGAGCCCACAGAGTGACACCTAAGACAACGCCCTAAAAATGCCCTGTGCTTCCCTTTTTGGGGGGTCACAAGTTCTAACTGGGACACGGAGGATGCTACCAGGGCCCATTCTCTGCCTTCATCATGGGATAGTGTGCTCAGTTTCACTTAGAGGTTAGTAAATGAAAGATATTTTTTTCCATTCATGTTCATGGATCCCAAAATCTATCCATGGGGAGATCTGTGGACACCAGGTTCGGGTACCTGCTTTATGAAATTGATAGCATTCACTGTTGCTCAGGTCACACTCTGGGGGCCTGGGCGTGGTACCTGGTGGAGGTCCCCAGTGCCAAGGAGAGGGGCATGGAAAGGACAGATGCCTGATGGTGGGTGACCCCGATCTGGGCATTTTAGACCATGTGTCTCATTTGAGCTCCTCTTTTGGAGGAGATGAAGTTCAGAGGTGTGAGGGAGCTCGCCCAGTGTCACGGCTGGCCAGGCGTCCACCTGCGAGCTGCCCAGCCCTGCCTGAGTGCGGGCGCCGCGTGGGGTCTGGCCTCTGGGTGTGCCTTCATCCCCGCGTGGAGGAAGGAGGCTGTGCGAGCTTGATGGAGAGGGGTGGAAATTACGAGAGCCTGCACTGAACGAGGAAAATTGTTCACTTTTGCTTATTTTGTAGCCAAAAGCTGGGTCTCTTGGATCGGGTTCGCCTTTCTAATCCTCGTGGTAGCAATACTAAAGGAAAGCTATTTACCCCTCTGAATGTAGATGCCATAGAAGAAAGTCCTTCTAAAGAACCAAAGCCTGTTGGCTTAAACAATAAAGAACGCTTCCGCACGGCCTTCCGCATGAAAGCCTACGCTTTCTGGCAGAGTTCTGAAGGTAAAGCCTTTCTTGTCCTCCCTGCCCCTCCACTCCTGCCTCTCCCAAGCCCTCTGCTCCCCGCCTCCCTCCTGCCCGATGTGGAGGATGGTCTACGCAGTGCCCGGCCCCTGACCTCCCTGGGCCTGCGTCTTGCTCCGTCTCATCCAGACGAGCTGGAGGCCCAGAGGACCGCTTGGCTTCCTGCCCTTTCAGTTACCCGGGGTCAAAAATATCACCTACGATAGAATATTTTTGAAAGCAAGACGGTGTATACATAACTTTTGTTACAGTATGTTATTATACTTGTTCCATTTACTTTGTTATTCTTTTCTTATTGCGCCTAATTTATAAGTTAAATTTTGTCATAGGTATTTTGTTATAGGAAGGAATAAAGTCTTTATAGGGTTTGGTCTTATCAGTGGTTTCAGGCCATCACTGGGGGGGTTGGAAGGAATGCCCTGCAAATAAGGGGGACCACTGTATTTCCATGGCTCACAGGCCAGAGGGCCCCCAGAGAGCCCCCACTCATGTCTGTGCAGCCCCCTCTGGGAGGCTTGGACACAAAGCCAGGGCTCCCAAGGATAGTCATGATGAGCGCATTGTTGGGGTCAGCCTCAAAGGTGGAGGGCCCAAGTGCAGTGGCCTGGAGCCCTCAGTATCCTACAGGGGAACAGGGACAATACCTAGTGAGGACCAGCAGGGCCCAGAAAGTGACCCCTCCCCCCGATGTCACAAAGTGACTGATGGAGCAAGAATCAGATCACGTCTGGCTGACTGCGAGGCCCTCGTGTGGGCTCCATGCTCTATGGGCTGCTCAGGACCCCTGTAGCCCACTTACCAGCCTCCTGGTCTCCCCTCCGGCCAGCAGTCCTGTCTCAGACTTCTGGTCATAGAAGGGGGTGCTGGGAAAGGCTGGATGACGCCATGTGGTCTCTCAATGAGACACTCTGGATGCAGAGCTGGGAAGGCTCTGGCTGAGCAGGGCGTGTCCTGCCACTGACATGCGCGTCTCCCTGTCAGATGCTGGGACAGGCGAGCCCATGGGGGACGACAGGGGCTATGGAAACGACTTCCTCATGGAAGACATGATCCCCACCCTGAAGGCCGCCATCCGAGCTGTCAGGTAAGGAAGGGCCCTCCTCCCACCTGCGGCCTCCAGGCTCGGCTCAGCGCCCACAGGCCCTGGCTCTGTGCAGTGCCCTTGGGCTGTGGGAAGGTGGATGGGAAGCTCCTCAGGGCAGGTCACTGACCTGTAGTAAGGGATTTTAACTGACTCTGCTCAGGAAGAGTTGACTACAAGGAGCATTAGTCATTCAGGGTGACTTTATTTGTTCCCAGGAAGATGGAAGCGAGGGTTTGACATCTGTGAGTTCTGGGTGCCCCACTTTCATAGGAGCTGAGAAAACCCGAGGGAGGGGACCCACCATCCCTTTTCTAGAAGCTCACAAGCCAAAGGATTAAAGAGGATGTGGAGGAGAAGCTACGTTAGCTGTCCTCAGACAGAAAGCAGAGTGACACGGCAACAAGAGCGTGGGCCTTGCAGCCTATAAGCCTGGAGTTGAGGATAGCTCGTGCTTTGAAGCTTAGCTCTCTTGGCCACTGTTGTGTCATTCATGGCATTTTGTTCAAAAAGCACTTAGCTCAGTGTCTGGCCTGGAGTGAATGTTCAGTGGGTGTTAGTTCTCATTGTTATTATGATTTTATTATCTGTAAGGCCAAAGGGAGGTGATCGTGAAGGAAAGGCACTAGCAACCTAATTCTCCATGGTTGGAGGGGGTTGACCCAGGACCGAAAGTTGAACTTCTCTCCCCCAACTCTTTTCCTCTCTGGTTCTTTTCTCTCCCCGCCCCTGAGTTTCTGGTCTTGTATCATCATTCCCTTCACTCTCTGCTCATGAGTGCAAATGTCCCTACTTTGCCTTGTAGAATTCTACAATTCCGTCTCTATAAAAAAAAATTCAAGGAGACATTGAGGCCTTACGACGTGAAGGACGTGATTGAGCAGTATTCTGCAGGCCACCTCGACATGCTTTCCAGGATAAAGTACCTTCAGACAAGGTAAGACCATCGTATCTGGAGGCCTGTGCTCTCCTGACTGCGATGGAAGCAACGCCAGACCAGCCTTAGCACTGATGAAAGGCATTCAGAAAGAATCCACATTTTAAGAACAAAAGTGGTTATCAACAATTATGGATGTTGAGGCCAGCTAGCACCAGGCCAAATGGATTGTGAAGAAACTCTAGCACATGTCCAAAGCCAACACCCTGGTCTGTCCTCATGAGAGAAGACCTAAGTCTGACTGGCCACTGCCTGTGGTGCTTTAGATGTTGCCAACAAAATTGGGTTCCTCTAAACTGAGTCCAGCTGGCTAAGACTAAGTGTACATTTCCTTCAAATTAAAAAAAGAGTTCACCAAATGCTACACTGATAATAGTGAAAGTATGGAAACAGCATTGAAGCTCAACTAATAATTGCCACCATTTTGGTTGAGCACTTGGGAACCCTCATTCCTTATAAGCCTCTGAAGTGTTACATTAGAGGTGCCGATTTACCAATGAGGGATCCAAAATTCAAAGAGTAAAGGACTTACTGCAGATCACCCACCTAGTAGGTGGCAGAGCTGAAAGTCAAACCAAGTCTTGTCCTCTCTAAACACCACACCTCCTCAATTATAAAATAGTGATTAAGAAAAGACATCTGCTCACCTAAGTTAGCAGCCATCAAATGAGATTGCAGAAATGTCCATAATGAAAAACAAAGTATATGATCTGTGAGTATAAATGCATAGCCATACTAATTTTACATTCAGGCATATATACATGCAGATATACCTGTACGTACTTAATGTGCATATAGAGGATTGTGTTATATATACTTTTCCTAGACCTTGCAATAATATATATAATGATTTTAAAATCAAATGCACATATGTTGACACAGAAATTCACCTCCCTCACCTCCCTCCTCTCTCTCTCTCGCTCTCTCCCTGCCTCTGCCTCTCCCTCTCTCCTTCTCTGGTGTAGCAGCCTAGAGAAAGGAGTAGCACTGCCCCCAGGGGCTGACAGTGGCTATACTTGTTGATGAATCAATGTGTTGTTTTTTTGTTCTACTTCTTAAAATTAGCAAATCTCTAATGAATTATAACACCTTTTAGAGAAGAAAAGCCATTTACAAACCTAAAGGACAATGTGAGTCATAGCATTGGCACCAGGAAACCACAGTCTTCTGGGGAGCTCGCCCTCCGACAGGTGTGACCTTGCAAATGGACAAGACTCAGGTGCCCTCTGGACCTCAGCTTCCTCATCTGAAAAATGCTTCCATCAGAATACCAGAAGCATCTCCACACTGAGAGAGCTGGGGGAGAAAGGTGCTGGGTGTGTGTGGGGCTCATTTGTGACCTCGCTTCATGCGTAACCTGGTTATCAAGAGGCCTGGCCTTCACACAGCAGGTGCTCAGTGTGCAGAGGAGGTTATGGATGTTCTGAATCTAGCGTGCTGTTATTTATGTACAGAGGAAGGGAGCATGATATCTAGAAGAGACCGGACTCCCAAAACACTGGCCCATCTTCATGTAGAGAGCAGACAACATGTTGTGACTGTTTTAGAGATGACTAGGCCGGAGCTGACTGCCTGGGATGGCTGGTGCATCCTGCTATGCTGTGTAGGCCAGACAAAGGGGCCGTTAGCCACATGGTATCAATGGGGAGCAGCAGGGCTCACAGGGACCGTGTTCTGGCCACTTCTGGGTCATGATCTGGGTGGCCCAGCCCCCACCCTGAAGCACCCTGGGGATGTTTGTCTCCTGTAAAGTTCCAGAGAAGATACTGCTGCTCCTACAGAAAGGGGAGCAGGTACAGGAGCGAGTGTGGAAGCCATCTCTCAAACAGCCAGAGAGCTCACAGCTAACAATGGAAAAACTCCCTACAAGAGAGGAATGAAAGATCTGGAAGATCAGATAGGCTTAGAGAATATAAGAGCTCCCCCTCAGGAATAGCGGGGTGCAGCCCTCACCCAAGCTGTGCTTAGACTTCTTCCCCTCTGCCCTGGGACAGGTGCTCGTGCTGCCTGGACAAAAGAAGGAGCGCCGTCTATCAAGATTATAAACTCTCTCTCTCTGGCTTTGTTCCTCTCTCTTTTCCCTTCTCTTGTATATTCCAAACCCATATGACAAAAGAGGGAAGAGAACAAGTTGCCTCCCTGTCTTCCCGTGACGAGCTCTCTGTGACGTGAAACCTTGTGTGTTCTCTTTCAGAATAGATATGATCTTCACCCCTGGGCCGCCTTCTACTCCGAAGCATAGGAAGTCTCAGAAAGGCCCGGCGTTCACCTACCCGGCCCAGCAGTCTCCCAGGTGGGCTGTGGGTGGGGCAGGCAGGTGCCAGGCTACAGGGCTCCCCAGATCGCAGCTGGTTCCTTGGTGGTCGGCTGATGTTGTCTTTCCCCGAAACCAGATGAAGGGAGGGAGATAGAAGCCAATTCTGGCTCGCAGCCCTTTGAGAGGTTTCTGTGCAAAAGCCCCGCGCCTCTCTTCCCAGACAGCTTCCCAAACATTGGGTGATTCTCCTCTATGGTGGTCACAAATGGAAACGAGCCGAGAGGGACAAACGTGCTTTGCCAGAACAGAAAGAATACTTCGTGTGGGCAGGGCGTGGGGCTTTCTGGGTCAGATGTTTCGGCTTTTCCCGATAGGTTCATTCTCCTCCCGGGACAGAGGAAGGAAGTGCATGCCAGGCCCGACACGTTGCAGGCGCCCTGTTCTCCCGAGTGCTTGAAGACATTCCTTTCCTAAGTCCTGACGAGGAAGAGCCGTCCCTTAGAACATCCCCTGCCGGAACTTACCTGTCTTTAGTCCCACCGTGTCAGGCAGGGAACACACACACGTCAGGCTAAGACTGTCGCACACCCACAGTCACAAGCCCCCTCACTGTAGCAGAAGCAAGCATGTGAGCAAGATGCTCTCGGCACCTAGTCACCCGCCTCCATCCTGGGAATGGAGTAGGGGGCGTGGCTGTGACCCCGGGGCACCTAGCTGGTCCTAAGCAGGTCATTGCTGCAGTGACCTGTTGCTGCTAATTTTTTATTTATGCATACAAGAGCTGGGGTACAGGCCAGAGATGCACGGGGGGTGAGAGGACTCACCAGAGACAAAGCGGGGAGCAGAACAGGCAGACGGACTGAAATCCACTGCTGAGGGGAGCGGCGGGCGAGACAGGAGAGGTCTGCTGCGCCATGTGGGTTTCTCCCTGGCCTCCCGGGGATCGAGCTCATGCTGCAGAGGCTGTGGACAGCTTCATAGTGCGGTGCTTAACCCCTTGCGCCACCAGGGAGGCCCTGTTGCTGCTAATTTTCAGAAGAAAGTTTCCCTGAGCCCAGATGTCTAAATGTTTCATGAAAAGTGAACAACCGCATTTCATGTGGACTCTCCCGTTTTAGACCTGGGTTAAGTGTTTTTGAAACCCTGGGTGGTGGGGAGTCGGGGGCATCCTGCCGTTTGCACTAGGGTTCCCGGCCTGCTTTCAGCCGGGAGGGTCTGACATGGACCTGTTAGCTGCTGTGAGGGCTTCCCGCCACAACACAGCTCCCACTGCAAATGGCAGAGAGCCCTGGGGGCTGCATTTAGCACAAGGACTGCCTCGTTGGCTTAAATTCAGGACAGTTGAGCTGAAGACAGAGCAGGGACTTAGCGCCGGTGAGAGAAAGAGCAGTTACCCCCTGACAGCAATGACTCAGAACAATGGTGACCCCCTAAAGGGGCTCTGCCACACAGGACAGAGCTGTGTTGGGACTCGTGGGAATTCAGGTGGACGTGGCCTGGAACAGCCAGAGAGCAAAGGCAGACAGAGGTCGACCCGTCCCCACCAGCAGCATCTTCCGCGTCATTTTCTGATCTGCACCTATTTTCCGTTCTTAAAACACAGCAGAGGAAATGCTAATGCCCACCGTGGAGAATTTCAGAGATTAGACGCTCCCTCCACACCCTCCTCCCTCGCACACTCAGGGAAGGACCAAGGAGTGTGATTTAAAGGCGGGATACACTCCAGGCTCAGTGGGAGCTGTGTTGTGCCGGGAAGCCCTCACAGCAGCTAACGGGTCCATGTCAGACCCTCCCGGCTGAAAGCAGGCCGGGAACCCTAGTGCAAACGGCAGGACGCCCCCGACTCCCCACCACCCAGGCGTGAGCATGAGCCCCGGCCCCGGGAATACAGCCTCAAGCTGGAACGACCCTGTGAGGCAGCAGTTCTGCTGACAAAGTGATCTTACGGACCCCTTGGCTCTTTCCTAGGAACGAACCCTACGTGGCCAGGCCGTCTACATCCGAGATGGAAGACCAAAGCATGATGGGGAAGTTTGTGAAAGTCGAAAGACAGGTAGGCCTCGTCTTCCCCTCGACCGCAAGGAGGTCACAGAATTTATCTTCAAATGCTTTTCTCTTTCCATGAGAGAGAACATCCTAGAGTGTTTACACTCACAGAAGGATATGGAAATTAAGTCCCCGATGTAGCACTTACTGGCTGGGTGATCATTCGCAGGATCCTGAGCCTCTGTTTCCTCCTCTGTGAAATGGGGATTTTATTTTCTTTACGGAAGTAACCGACATGGCAGCAGTAAGTGTGCAATACTCCAGGCTGAGCCTTAACAGGGGCCTTCACGGCTGGAAGCCCATCTCTATCCTTGGCCCTCCTGTGTCCGGTGGGATTTTGGTGCCACTTACGTGGCTGTGAGGATGAAATGAGGAAGGAAGCGATGACCTGAGAGCGGCTGGGGCCTGTAAACAGGCCACGAGTGCAGCTCCTGCTGTGCTCCCTGCGGCTCCCTCCCAGCACCGCTGCGTCCCGAGCCCTCCTACCTCAAGGCCCCGCGTGGGGTCTCTAGAGGCCTGGAGGCGGAAGGCTGTGGTCTCTGTGTGTGTTGGGGGGATTGGGGGGTTCTCTCAGGACACAAAGGGAAACCCATTCACTCGCAGGACCCGGGAGCTCACCTTCTCCTCTGCCCTAAAGCGGGGCTTGCCTGACTTTGCCCTGGACACTGGCGCCGTCCATTTCCCTCAAGATTCCTGTCAATGCTTTCATTTGACCATCACCCCACCCTGGGTCTGTGCAGGAAGGAGAGAGGAAATTTGGATGATTATTCCTTTGGGTTCATCAAAAATATATTTTTTCATTTCAAATGTTAATTTGTGATCTCAGCTCTTCCGTTGCCTAGTTCTGTGACCTTTGGTAAGTTACTTTTTCATGCTGAACCTGTTTACTCATCTGTAAAATAAAGATAATAATAGTATTTACCTAGTAGGGTTGTAGAAATTAAAGGAGTTGATATCTTTTAAGTTCATGAAACAGAGTTGGACGCTTACTAACTGCCATGTAAGTGTCAGTCATCACAAAGGCATGGACACCTTCCTACCTATCACCTGTCACCTTCCCACCTATCACCTGGCACTGCTTTGTATGCTCGTCTACAGGCATGTGCACACATGCTTATGTAGATACACCTGTAAAGATTTGAGTAAATTCCCCGTCTAGTAGGTAAGAGCAACACAGCTTATGTCCTGGTAGCCCTCGGTGAGGGTGCGGGCAGGGTCTCCAGGTGGGAGAAGCTCAGTTCTTGCAATCACTCTCCTGTGTCTTGGGGGCTTACAGCACCAGGTAGGAGAAAGGTGCATTAACAAGCCACATGCTCTGCCTAGGGAAATGTTTGCAAGACGAGGATACCCCGCTCCTCCCCCCAAACTGCAGCAGCAAGGCCAGCTCTTCCTCGGGGAACAAAGACTTCTAACACATGCCCCCCAACCTTCTCTCTGTGTGCAGCCGTTGCTTTCTGGAAAGCCACGGTCAGGCTTGTTTCTAGATTAGCACATGCATGGCCCGACGTTCAGAGGCCGGGAATCCTTAGCTGTGATTATCATGACTGTGTCCAAGAAGAGACGTCCTTTCTGAGTGCTATGCAGTGTCTCCTCCCGACCTGAGAGAGCCCTGACCCCGCGTCCTTATGTTTTCCAGGTGCACGACATGGGGAAGAAGCTGGACTTCCTGGTGGACATGCACATGCAGCACCTGGAGCGGCTGCAGGTGCAAGTCACGGAGTTCGGCCCCGCCAAGGGGGCCTCCTCTCCAGCCGAGGTGGGGAAGCAAGAGGACCGTCGGGACTCGGGCTTGAGGACCATCCTCTGCCACTATTCTGAGGCAGGCCCCCCCGAGGCCCCCTACAGCTTCCACCAGGTGCCCATCGACAAAGTCGGCCCCTATGGGTTTTTTGCCCACGACCCCGTGAACCTGCCCCACGGGGGCCCCAGCGCCGGGAAGGTTCAGGGGACCGTCTCCTCCTCGGCGCCATATGCAGAGAGGCCCACCGTCCTGCCTATCTTGACGCTTCTCGACTCGAGAATGAGCTACGGCTCCCCGGCCGAGCCGCCCGGCCCCGGCCAGGCCCGGGTGTCCCCCCGGCAGAGACCCAGCGTCACGCGGGACAGCGACACGCCCCTGTCCCTGATGTCCGTCAACCACGAGGAGCTGGAGCGCTCGCCCAGCGGCTTCAGCATCTCCCAGGACAGAGATGACTACCTGTTCGGCCCCAGCGGGGGGTCGAGCTGGATGAGGGAAAAAAGGTACCTCGCGGAGGGGGAGACAGACACGGACACCGACCCCTTCACGCCCAGCGGCTCCATGCCGCTGTCGTCCACAGGGGAGGGCATCTCTGATTCCATATGGACCCCTTCCAGCAAGCCCATGTGAAAGGGGCCGTGGACTGACTGCTCCTGGCAGTGTAGACAGACTCTGTACAGCTCCTGGCTCTCGCCCGATGCATCCCCCGAGCCCCGGGCTGCCCGAGCGCCTGCATGTGCTGGCCCCGGGGCGCGGCCTCTCCCCACGCCGCTCGCGGAAGCCGCTTCTTTTCAGCATGGTTTGCATGACTTACACTATATAAATGGTACCGCTACTCTCTTCTAGGGTCCACATGTATCTGCTGTTCTTACTTTAGCTCACGATCGGATCAGTACAGGGAGACATTCTTGATGAGCCGTGCATTGTCTGTCTGGTTGGCTGGTTTGGGTTTCGGTGTGGTCAGCAGGGAATGGCGCTGATGTCTGAACCACTGCCCCCTCGTGTAAAACAGGCCAGCAATGAGCTGTTTCTAAGGCAAGCAAATCACTTAATAACAAAACAGCGCGCTGCCTGCTGGTGAGGCTTCCCTGGAGCTGAAATGTCAGCAAAGGAGTGAGAGAGTCGTAGCATCTGCAAAAGCAAGAATTCAAGAAATTGTTAAGGAAAAACTAACCAAACCCTCTAAAAGCTCTCAGAGGACCCTCCCTTGATCTCCCACTGTCTAGCACCATGCCTCCGTTTCCTCGTCTATAAAAGATGGTGGTCATCCCGAGCATAGCTTTCCAGATGAGTTACAAATTGGTGAGAAGAAAACACACACACACACACACGCTAAATTAGTTTCCAATTTATGTAACCAAAGTAGTGACATTCATCAGAAGCGGGTGCCCCTCTGGGCAGGAGCTCGTTCAGTGCCATCGCAAGTGGAAATGCAGGTCAAGAAGGCACATGGAAATGCTCCAGGTCAAGTTCTTTGTGAAAATGAGAAGCCTTTGGCTCAGGTAAAGAACCAGGCTGGTGTCACTCATCCCCTGAGAATTGGGTCTCAAAGCCTGGTGAGCTGATTTGCTCCATCCCAAGTCCCCTACTACTCCACTCCACCACTGACACACTGGGCCCAGAAATCATGCCAGGAGACTGGACCCTGTGTCTTGTGGAAGGCACTCGCATACAATCTATCCAGCAGGAAGGGGCCGCCTGCTTTTATGGTACAACACACTCGCTCAATGCATTACATTTTGGATCCAGAAAAAAATAATAAAAGCAAGCTACAACATTTATGAATAATCAAATGAGCAGTTTCCAGAACCATCCAATTTTACTCCTCCCAATTTTTTGGACCACACGTAGCCTTATGACTAGCTAAAGTGTAAGCAGACAGCCTGGAGAGCACTGCCCCACCTTGTAAGTATTAATATTGAGCACAAGCTATCCTATGGCCTCTTAGGAGATGTTACTACTCTCTAAGCACTTTGATAGAAAAGGTTTCTGTTAGACGTGAGCTAAAGTACTACGTGGTTGTATTATGGCCTCACTCTTATGTATCTAAACACTAATTTGTCAATGGTTGCCATGGTGATCAAGATGATCAGAATAGCCTAAACAAAAATCGACGTGCGAGTTCACTACACTTCTCCACCATGATCTTGTCACAAGCCATAGTAGCTGCTATGGGCATCTGGTCGATCGTCTCATCATTACCCGACACAGGCTCTTTATGATGTAGGAGAGAGGAGCAGCTTTCTCAGAGATGGCTTCCTTCCAACCCACAGGTCAACAGGTACTAGGAAAAAGGCTCAGAGTAGAGTAATAATGAGGATTTGGCCACAGGCATTTGCCAGAAACTCAATGGGGTGTTCAGCTGGAAGAGTTGGACTTTCTCACCCTTGAACTAAAATAGTTACATCCATCCACAGTTAAAGGATTTCCTCATCTTCTTTTAGCACTTAAGAAAAAGAGCTTGTACCACTTTCCAAACCCAGGGAGGGAAGTCTAGCTTCCCTGCTGGATTGGAAGGCCAGGATGGCAGGGCTTGGGTTGGTGTTGATTGCCACTGTCTCCAAACATATAGTAAGTTGTTTTCATCAGTGTTTACAGAGACAAAATGCATTTTTCTTGAATGGATAAATGATAAGAATCTTAGGAGCCATTCTTTCCCATCTAAGAGAAAAAAAAAAAAAAGACCATGATATTCTGGGATAGTCTGCTCTCATAGTCCATAAAAAAAAAAAAAATACTTCAGAAAAGCAAAACCAAACCTACTCAAATTGCCTGCCCATAGAAAACATCATCAACATGGCTACCATTGATAAAACAGAAACTCAGGGTCTGGGATTCAGTGTAAGTCATGGTGAGAAGCCATGTGTGTTTCCACAAAGACCTTTTTGTCAGACAAAGGAAAAGCATGATGGAATGACCCAGTAGAACTGTCTGATAACATGGTCCGACATATACAAGTTCAGATATACCAGTGGTTCTGAAGCTTGCCCAGAAAATGGCTGTAGTTTCAGAAGAATCCAATGAAATAGTGATAAATTCCATCATAAGAATTAGCAATGTTTTTCTCAAGTGAAACAGTGATCCCATTATGTGTGTGCAGCTTCTGTGCATCACAGAATGGTGTATGACAATTTTAAGAAGTCACCTTTTAACAGGACCAAAATGAATGCGATAAATCTACTTTCCAACTATTAGGTGAAATGTGATTCTCTTGACCACAGAAGAAAGTCCTGAGCTCAAGAGTGAGTTTTAATTTTCAAATACACAAGCAAACACTAAAAGTTGAAGGGAAAAAAATGCAAGAGGAAAGGAAACAACACCAAGTCAGGAAAGTTCTGTTCACTATCTGTACTGGGTACTGAGAGATTAAATTAATTTGACATGATATTGCTATTCACAAAACCCTAGTTTTCAGGACAATCTAAGTAGAAAATTCAAAGGTCACTAAAGGTCAAAATGAACTAATTAATAGACACTTGTGCAACTAATGCCTATTTTGTGTAAGGCAGTTCCTAGACACTGTAAAAAGTTGAAAAAGTAACAATTACTTGTAGAACATCCTAATATAACAGGATCTACTCTGACTTTGCCAAGAACATTCTCATAATTTGATGTCACTCCATGAGAGTGTAATAAAAGCATTCATTTGTTTATTCATTTGACAAGATTTATTAAGCTTCACTCTCTAGTAAGCACTGGGCAAGACATGAGAAATTCAGACATAAGAAAACCAGTTCCCACCATCCAAAAGGTGGGAATCTGGTAGCTTTAAATATCGGGGTTCCCTTCACATTCTGCCTCCCAGGAATGGAAAGTACTTGATTTCATCCCTGAAGATAACTATGCAGACAGGAATGTTTTCTAGCTGGAATAAGTAGAAGATGGAACATGGACAAAAATGAGAGCAAAAATTCTGCATCAAAATGAAAATGACCCTCAGCCCAGGGAAGACTGAGCAGGTTGAATTGATGCCTTGAGGTTAGGTTCAATGCTTTGAACTTTAGAACTCCAGAGAAGTTGTGCAAGAAGGAGGTTCTTAGAGAAACCAGTTTTCTCCTCTTTTCTATATTCTTACTAGGCCTGAGGCCAGGGAAGGAATTGAGCTACTACCATTTCACCGTGTTGACCAAGAGAGACTTATGGTTCAGACCAAGACACCACATCTATTTCAAAAGAAAGTCATCACTCTACCTGTGGGATCCTGAAAATCTAATTCCCCTGGGAAAAAAGAAAAAGTGTGTTCCATGATCTGAAAGCCAAGTGCACTTTGACACCCAGGCTCCTGGAGAAGATGCCACATAGCAGGTCTTTGTTCGCTGTGAATACACTTCCAAGGTGCCTGGACCACAAGGATTGTCTTTGCTTTCCGATCCCCAAGCTTCTTTCAGAATTTGTGCCATGTCCCCACTTGTACTCGAAGGTTTGCTTACTTACTTCAGGATGAATTTTCTGAAGATGATCAGTCTTTTCTTTGATTCCAATTCAATCAACCTTTTCGTGCAACTGACAGCACATGGTGCACAACGGAACAACAGACCCCTGAACAAAGCCACAGAGAGTAACTCATGGAAGCCCAGGTGAACACACACCTGGAGCCCGGAGATCAATGTCTTCAAAATCTAGTAGTGGAAATGTCAAAGAGAGAGGACCGAAAAGAGATTGCCTGGAGGAAAACTTGAGTTTCAAGTTCGAAAGTGCTGGACTTTTCTACCCTGTTTTGATTTTCAAATGATTTACCCATAAAGCCCCCGGTGCAGTCACTGCCATATCCTGGGACTGTTATTCATGTTCTTTATTTGATAGTATGTGTGGACTCCACGGCCGTGGATTACTTCTGGACTCTAAATGTACACCAGAAACTACTTCTTTCAGAAGAAGAGTGGTAGAGATACAATTTGGATTACTACATGACAACCTTGGGCACCTTTGCAGTTACTTGTTAAGTTAGTACGTCTCTACAAATAAAAGTGCTTACTTTTTTCCATCAAAATGAGGAGAAGCAGGAATGTTGAAATGAAGGGAGTAGGAAGGTTGGATTCCACCAGACTAGGTTGTCCCTGCCTCCAATTTAGCATCCATCTAGGAAAATTGACTGGCATTGTGCTTTATTATCATAGAAGCAGGGATATGTAATTTCATAGATTCTTAGATGCTCAAAGCAAAAAGAGATGTTGATCCCCAGACTAGCCACCTCTCTTTTTGGTTTAGGAAGCAGAGGCTCAAAGCAAAGGGAATCACAGTGGTCACGTGAGTGATGGGGTAGCAGAGAGCACCTAGAACTCAGGGCTCCTAACTCCTAGTCCAGAGAGTGGGAAGAAAAACTAAATGTAAGATAATAACTGAGACCAAAGGATGTCTGAGGAACCCAGAAGGTGAATGAGAACTTCCTGGTCCACTTGAGAAACTGTTAAGCCAGACATAATTTGGGGGCCATGGTCTCAGCTCTGGAATATGATTGGTGATTGTATGGCTTGAGAGATGGCACTGTCCCCTCTCCCCAAGTCCTGCTATCTTTAGAATGTGCACCTCAAACCACTGCTGCTGTGTGGGGTTGAGAGTGGGAATGAAGAGTGTCCTAATGGCACTGCACCCTCTGCTTCCTCTTCTGCTCTGTCCCCTCCGGTTCTGCTCCTTGACCCGGCGCTTGAACTCGTTCAGCTCCAGAGTCACTTCTCCAGTTGTAATCTCACTACAAGGCAATTTAACAGGATTTCTTCTTGACAAAAGTAGAGGAGTTTGATTTTAGGAAATGGGATGTGACTTTTTTTGAGGATATTTATGACCCTAAGTTGCCAATTCTACTGAGGTGTCCCTTTGCAATGAGACCTCTGCGTGTCCCCCTGAGGA